GCTAAATCTGAGAATTGGTGGTGTCGCTAAAGTAAGTTTATTAAAAATCAATTGGATTCCATAAGTTACCTACCATATAGTTTTATGAACTGGGGAAATCAATATAATTGGATCGGTTGTAGTGGTTAACTATGGAGGTAGATTGTTATCAAGAAGAACGTGCAGGAAATAGATTATTTTTTATTTACTTTTGGGTAAAGTTTAAATGTTTAACTAAAATGTGCTCCACTAATGTTTAGACTAAATGCTTACCGGAACTGCTCCCTATATAAGAAATAAGAATAAGATCTAACCATTGATTAACTAAATCAAATGGCTATATTTAATCTTAAATCTCTCTTCCCCCCACATTTAGTGCCCAACGTGTGTGTAAAATTGGTAAGAGTGCAACATTATATTTAATGAAGGGTATAAATGTAATGGTCATCCTATGTGATTGCCATGAATGTCACGTAAGAACTTCACCATATATGGAAAACTTCCTAAACATGATGATAATTAATAACTTCTCATAATTAACGTCATTAATTTTATTAAATGATTCCTTAATTTCCATTTTCAATTTGATATTCTATCAACAAAATCAGACAACCCACTCTAATCATTATCTAATTTGTGCATAATTTTGACCCGTGAGAATACATTTTATCATTGCAATTACATTCAAATTATAATGCACATTTGTTATTAAAAAGGATGCGCTTTTGAAAAAAATAGATCATGAGCGATCATATACGTAGTACTAAATATGAAACATTAAATGATATAGGTGCACTGTATTTAAACATATTACAATTAACCCAACACTTTACATTGGTGCACTTTTATTCCATCTTTATGCAATATTAATTCCGAAGGATGGAGTATGGTACACTTTTTTAAGTCATGCATAATACAGTGTATGTGTAAAAAAATTATTTATATGTAATGTGCACTACATATAATTGCAAACTGCAAATATATAATGAGTAAAGTGCATCGGAAGACAAGAAGCTAAGAATATAGTTTGACAATGTGCTTATGCATGTGCCTAACATACAATATCTTTTTTTAAGAATGCACTTCAATGTACAACTAAATGCATATTAAGAGCATTTCCAATGCTAATACGTTAACGATGCATACGTGGCATGAGAGATAGCCAATCAAAAAACAATAATTAACATATCTCTCTCCTTATATAAAGGACCTTATATCATTTTGGTAAGTTTTTGTTCACAATTTCAAACATAATGTCTAGATGTAGACATTGTGGTTGACATTGCAGAGTAAAACTTACCAAAAAAACACAAAAGACCGTGAAAAGACAGAGAGAGAAATGTCATAAGATCAATCTTTTGTGTCTATCTCTCTCATGCCACATGTGCACCGTGCACTAAAAAATACAGTATTAACGGTGAAGCTATTAATTAGAGAACTGCATCATGTGCATCCCTCGCCCATAGTTAGTGCAAATGTTTGTGTGTTAGTTAGCACTGTCTTGTATTATCAAATAATTACCAAACAATATTGCATCGGAAAGGAGAAAAGTGCAGTATGCAAACCAGTTTAGTGCACTATCGTATACAACACGTAGCAGTTAAAAGAATCCATATGAACTGGTGCTATAGATAAATCATAGTTTAAATTTTCTCTGGAGTTCATATTTCACCCATAAATATTCACAAATTGGAAAAACGAAAAAACAATAATAAAATATATCAATCAAATACTCCGTTATAAAAGATTGAAACCAATATAGTTATTCGATCATTAAAATATTGCAAGATAATCAATTTCTAAACATATGAAGCTAATAAGGAAATAAACCATTAATAAGGATTCGTGAATAAGGAAACAAGTGCACGATTATGTAAATCAATTAGCCAAGAGAATAAAATGACTGAAAGGAGCTCACGTAATAAAAATTATGAAAATGTAAAGAGCTATGATCTAACGGTTGAAATCTATTCTTATTTCTCTCCTAAGATGTCTTTCTCACTTGATCCTAAATATATATATATATATATATATATATATATATATATATATATATATATATATATATATAAAATAAGAACATGATCTTAGGTTTTTCTCACTATATCTATATATATATATATGTATATATATATATATATAATCTATAGGTTTTGGTTCAAATAAGAACATGATCTTAGGAGAGAAATGAGAACGAATCTGGACCGTTAGATTTACTTTAAGTGAAATTCAATGTGCATTAGATGAAACTGTAATGTGCATTGGGTGAAATTGAAATGTGTAACACAAAGCGTATGATACATTGTCATTAAGTGAATCTGAATTGTCCATTAGGTGAAATTGAAATGTGCACTAGGTGAAACTGAAATGTGCAGAATAAAAGGTATGATGTGATGTTATTTTTGTACATTTTATTCCGCACATTTCAGTTTCACCGAATGTACAATCGAGTTTAAATTTTTATTCTGCACATTTCAGTATCATGTAATAGACATTTCAGTTTCATCAAATGCACATTTCCGTTCCACATAATACAATCCAACGGTCCAGATTCATTCTCATTTCTCTCCTGGGAGTCCATTCTTACCGGAACCGTTGGATTGTATTATGTGGATTTGAATTGTGCATTTAGTGAAACTAAAATGTGCATTAGATGATATTAAAATGTGCAAAATCAAAATTTAAACTCGATTGTACATTCGGTGAAACTGAAATGTGCGGAATAAAATGTACAAAAATAACATCACATCATACCTTTTATTCTGCACATTTCAGTTTCATCTAGTGCACATTTCAATTTCATCTAATGCACAATTCAGCTTCACATAATGGCACTGTATCGTACCTTTTGTGCTGCACATTTCAATTTCACCTAATGCACATTACAGTTTAATCTATTGCACATTGAATTTCACTCAAAGCAAATCTAACGGTCCATATTCATTCTCATTTCTAAAACTAATGTACCTTCACTTGAAGAGTGTGTTTCTATGATAAGTGATTCTTACATGTTATGAACCCGGGACACTGGCATATTGTGACATTGTGCAATTGTTCTGGAAAAAAGAAGCAAGGTAAAGTATAATGCTTCCATCAACATTGGAAACGAAGAAAGTGCTACTAGATAGCCTTGTTAAAAACATGGACTGATTCTGTTCTTGTTTTTGAATTATGGTTTAAACTTGAATATTGTGTTATTTGCTAAGCTTGTTAAGATGTTTATGTATTGAGACTCTGGAAACATGTTTGCTAATGCTAGTCTTGTAGACCGTAATTTTGGTATTTTCTTGTCGATTTTTTTAATTTTATTGTTGCTTTGTTTCAGATTTATTTTGCATTTACTAAATGAAAAATGGAAATTCAGTTTTAGTGATGAAGAAAACTCGGATGGTGAACGGGATACTCTGTGCGACATTGTCGTTTGTGGCATATTAGTTGGACGTAGAGGTCTTCCAATTTGACATTGTCGTTTATGATCTCAAAGATCTTTCCAATTTGACTTTTCACGGTCTTCTAAGTTGAACTTTGACTGTAAATATCTACATATCTATATTTATAAAATTCATAATAAATTAACATTCAAATAATATGATTTACAATGAGGTATATGAAATAAATTTTTAATCATAACATAATGTGAGTTTTGAATAACTAATAGTCAAATTTTATAAAATTTGACCCAAAAGAGTCAAAGTGAGAAGATTCTAGGGTTACGGAGGTAGTATAAGGTATCATTTCCAAGATTTTCGAAGAGGCAAAACAGAAAGAGCCTGTACTCCAAAGGGGCCACAAGAGAGATTCAACTATGTACATTGGTCTTTCCGCAATGTAATTGAGAAGACTTTTGGAGTATGGAAAGCAAGATGGACAATACTCAAAGACATGCATGTTAACTACACTATTAGTACTCAAATTGATATCATTGTAGCATCCATGGTGGTACACAATTACATAAGAATCAAGTGTTAAAGACGATGCCTTCGAAGTGGCTCAAAGTGAAGCATATGATCCAAATGAAGAAGTTGATCCTCATGATGCTCCAAAACTATGGATGGACTCGGGCCGGGTGGCCCGACCCGGAACCGGCCCGGGACCGGTACTGTTCCGACCCGGCCCGACCCGGTGGCCCGGTCAGTGACCGGTCCGGGTAGGCCCGGCCCGACCCGGTGGCCCAGCCTGACCCGGTGGCCCGGTCAGTGACCGGTCCGGGTAGGCCCGGCCCGTGGGTTTTCCGGTCCGGGCTCGGGTCACCCAAAACAAGGCCCAACCCGGCCGTGCCCGGTTCGGGCCAAAACCTTTTTTTTTAGTTTTCGGGTTGGGCTGGGTATTTTGGGCCATTTGGGATGGTTTGGGGGGTTGGGGGTGGGAGGGGGGTTAATTAGGAAGAGGAAAACAAAAAAAATGATAATGGGCCCGGACCCGGGCCGAACCCGGTGGTTACCCGGGCCGGTCTCGGGTCCAACATTTCTGAACCGCCGGCCCGCCCGAGCCTAGGCCCGACCCGGACCCGGCCCGGACCCAAGTCCATCCCTATCCAAAACATACAAATGGATGCATCATCAAGTCGAAATGAAGATAGACTTTGAATGCTATGAGAGGTATAATAGCTAATAAGATAAATGCAACTACAAATAGCTTTTATTTTACAAAAATACACTTTAGTATCCTCGTGCATTAACTAAATATTTTTGCTAAAAATGCACGAGTACTTTTGTTTAATTTTTAATGATTTAGCACTTCAAAAATATTTTGTATTGTCTTGTAAAAATACACTTTACTTTCCTTGTGAGAATAGTATAAGTAATGAACATTTACTGGAGTTTAGGGGTTCAAACATTTTGACTTCAATATGATACTCCAGTACATAATTGTGTGCCAAGAATAATGTATCTTGAATATTATTCCAAAATAATTTCAAAACAATTTTTCTACTTCAACTATATTATTAATTACATATTTTGAATTACTATAATTGTACTTTACTTTATATAGTAAATAACACTAAAAATATTTACTTCGGGTTAAGATTAGTTTTCCATTCAAATCAACACAATATGCCCTTTTGGTAATTTTACACAAATAACATTTTGCAACAGCATGTCATCCAAACACTCTAAAGTGATTCTCTATTTTAAACAATAGAATCAATACCAAACACTCCAAAAAAATCATTTTATCCTACAGCAGAATAATCTGCTTCTGCTTCTAACTTATAGAGGCAGATGCAGAATCAATTCAAACACCTCCATATATATCAAAGTTTGTGCTCTTGATGGAAATTGAACTATTGACCCTTTGGCTTTTGAATCTTCACATATGGGAGTAAACCAAACAAGTATTTGACGATTGGATCCCATCCCCGTTGCTGAGCACGGCAATGCATCAGAAATGTGTTAGCAAAATACGAGTTGAACCCCATCATCACGTGCCACATTGCATGACCCTGTGGATTGAAGGGCCATGTCGAGATATACTTACAAAACATGCCATCTAATAAAAAACATGTGGTCCCAACCAGTAAAGTGGCCACATACAGTTTGGCAAGACGCTTAGCTGACGTGTCTTTTGTGTGAATGTAATATTTGTACGCCCGAGGAATGCACAGAAGGCAGAGTAATGCATAGTGCACCTTGAAGACAATCACAAAGCGAACCTGTGAATGTACAATGGCAAATGCTGCACCATATAGGAACAAAAAGGTAGGCATAGTGCTCCTGTAGTGCCAATCTGGCGAATAGAGAATGTACACATAAAGAAGCATTTCCCACACCATTGGTGTCTCATCACCTTGTTGTTGCCTGTCAAACATGAAGATCTTCAACTACAACAAGATCATTAAACATAGTTTCATTCTAAATGTCTCCTTAGCAACCATTCTTGTTCTGTCATCAGTAAAGGTGGCGGCATCTTGTCAATTGTCATGTCTAAACGCATCACATGTTTCTTGTATCAAGTTATAAATAATGAAACCCTACAATCGATTAATTCCCATTTATGCAAGATATTATCAGCATGGAGTTAGAATATTCCAAGGAAAAAACTTATAAAATCAATATCACAGGTTATGCAAAGTTCCCCTGAAAAAATGCAACAAGCTTTTGCATCATGTTTGAAAGATTATCATCATGAAGTTAGAATATGCAATAAGATTAATGATAATTGATAATCAGAACATTCACCAAAGTACAAAATGCCAACAGAAAGTCGATGTAAGACACAAAAATGGAGAAGCTCTTACATTCGTTGCAACGATGCATGATAAAGCATGCTTCCTATGGAAAGAATCATGTTTGATATGTGGAGGACGCTAAACCTTTTTTCAAATCGCTGACGTACGGCATTCACAAGACCAATGAGAGCCAAAATAATGCATGGGGTATTTGAGACGGTATTGAAAAACTCTGCAATATAAGATGAGTAGACATAGTTCGGTTCACACCATTCTTTAGAAGTCACAGGGCCCCAAAAACTTGATATATTGTCTGTCATTGTTCAGAATATGTACCTGAATGAAAGTGTGTACATAATTAATTTTCAGCAACTATTTCCCAAAACTTGCATAAGAAACAAAGTTAAGGATAGAAAACCATAGTGAATACTTATGGCTATGACATGGCCCAGAGAAATTATAAAGCCATATTATTATGTACATTAAAGAATATTCATTTTCACAAATGTTGGAATTCTTGCTTTTGTAAAGTGATCCTTAGTGCTGTTAAAGAGCTGCTCCCTCCATGTCAAAATAAGGTAAAGGTTTGACTAGGAACGCTTATTAAAAAATGAATTTTGTGGTGGGAGATGTAATATGAACCACAAAAATTTTCCCATTCATATGTCCATTCATGTTAGCCGGCCCAAAACTATTTTGGAATAAAGGTTTGGATGTTGTTGTTGTTGAACAAAAGTTTTCCTTAAAAATAAATAAATATGCTGTTTTAGTAAGCTTTATTAAGACCGAGAGCATTAGTCTCCTCTAAAACAGAATACAAAAGTCATCTTATCTTACTATATACAAACCACAGTGGAAAGGCAGGTGACTTTCCCGCCCATTTCCACTGTGTCAAGTCGGGTCAAAAGGGTTAAAGTTGGGTCTAGAGGGGCTGGGCGTACAGCGAGTATGAATTCCCAAGAGAATACACTTAAGGTTTCTTGCTTTAGCCATAATTTGTAAGTTCAAAATGGGCTGTAGTGGTTGGGCGGCGCATGCATTAATGTTTTGTAGCAGTGTCTTTTCAAAACTTTTTGGATTATTAAATGCAGAACCAATTAGATATTTTTACAAGCAAATAACATCCTTTCAATACTTTTATGCATTTAATTAATGGATGGTACACACATATCTTATTGAGCAGTACAATATATTGGTTTTGATCTTTAAAGTACTCAAGCTCTCAAGCTACATTTTAATATCCGTTGGTTAGTAGTGTTCATTGCCTACTGGATATTAAATCCATCCGTTAATTACATAGAGGCCAAGCTGCAGCATAAATTAACTAACCTATTCAGTTCATTTTCCATCTCATAATCACACAGCAGCACAAAACATAATTGAATGGCAGAACCGCAGAAATCACAGCCACAGGTATGTATTCATTCCTCAAGCAAGTTGTCCACCTCAGGGAAGTTTTCCACCTAAATGTTTTAGTCCTAAATGTTTCACCTTTTGTATTTACTATTGTTTTAGTCCTAAATGTTTCACCTTTGATATTTTGAGTGACAACTGTAAAGAATTTTGCAGGGAGATAAAATTCCGGTTGTAGTAAAAAGGCCACTTGGTTAAGTTCAAGATTATCAGAGAGCACCAAATCCAGCAGACTTCAAGGTTATCTTTTGAAGGTACTCCACCTATCAACCGTAAAAGAGGGATCAAAGAGATACTTGATCAAGTTATCTAATATTACTGTGAATTACATACACGATTTGTTTAAAATACATGTCAATTCTGTACGAGTTTTGTGTGTTCAATGGATAGTACAAAGTAAACATTTTATTGTAGCACATTGTAAGTTTAGGGCATCATGTAAATCAGTCTTCTATGTAATTCATATTTTCACGACGACGAAGTAACATGCAAAATATTCATGTGTTATTGGTAATTCATTTATGTATGAAGTTACAACTTTTAACTACCTTCTAAAATCGTGAGTTCACCCTCTTAAGAACCGTTTATATCCAAGTTTCAATTTAAACGGAAACTACTAAAATAACTTTTCTTAAATATACAAAGGTTATACTCAGTATCATTTTTTGGACGAAATAGATTATAAAGTACTCCGTATTAAAATATAAAAACACTGTGAATAGTACTGAATCTTCTGCTAAAGGTAGATGATTGTGAACAACTTAAATAAAGTTGCTTTGTTACGAGATGTTGAATACTCATAAGCCTGATTTATTTGAACATTTACAATATGATAGAACTCCGTTTATAAAAAAGCATAGATGTGAGGTATGGTTTCCATTTAAACAATTTCAGTGATTGTATATAACATATAAGAACCGTGGATGTTTTTTCAGTATACATCTGCTATTCAATATACATCTGCTATTCAACATTTAAACAATTTCAGCATAGAACTCCGTTGTTACATATACATCTGCTATTCAACATTAAAATATATCTGTAAATGTTTTTTCTCAACATGTTAGAACTCCGTTTATAAAAAAGCATAGATGTGAGGTATGGTTTCCATTTAAACAATTTCAGTGATCATATATAACATATAAGAACCGTGGATGTTTTGAATTGTGAATCACTGAATAATTTAACATACTTCAATTACGGGGTATTATTTTTGGATGAAAATGCTAAATTAAACAGATTTGCTAATAAAGTTATTGATAATGATTTAAAATACTTCAATTACGGAGTACTCCCTCCGTTCCTAAAAATTCTTCCCGGTTTGACTTGGCACGCTTATTAAGAAAGTGGAATAAAGTGAAAATGTATGGTTGTGGTTGTGTAAGAAAAAGGTAAAATGAATGTGATCCACACAAATTGTCCAAAATGGGAAAGTGGGAAGTATTTTTGGGAACAGCCCAAAAAGGAAAGTGGGAAGTATTTTTGGGAACAGAGGGAGTATTATTTTTGTATGAAAATGCTAAATTAAACAGATTTGCTAACAAAGTTATTGATAAGATTTAATTTAATTGCTTCAATAAAAAAAGTGCCAAAACGTGAATTAAGGCAGATTTGTGTACAAAACTATGTGTTAACAAAATATTTATAGAAAATAAGCAAAAAACTAATAATACTATTTACTACGTAGTACAATTTACTATGTGTTACTTTAGTAACATTCCTTCATTTAATAATTATTTTACTTTAGAAACAATAAATTCTGGTCCAGGTTCAATAATTGGCTGACATGAACACATACTAGTATTGAAACATGTGAAAACACAGGTTGTGGGCTAGTATTGCAGTATTAAGAAACACAGGTGCAGGTTACTAGTGGTTCTCTGTTTATTACATTGCAGTGTCCATAGTTGCAGGTACTCCACCTCTTTGAACTACTGTGTTTCAGACTGCAATCAACTATGAATAGCAAGTTGATGTTGTATTTAGTAACCAAGTTGATGTAGTATCAATACTACTATTTAGCAACAACACTGTAGTCCAACACAATTATTATGAACTACTCTGTTGCAGTCCTCACCTCACCCACGCAAACAAGTTGATATTGTATTTAGCAACCATCAAGATATTCACAGGTGCATAATTGTGTGTGCATTATAGGATGCATATGTGTGTGTGCAGATAACATGTCATAAGTAGTGACATGTGTGTGCAGAAAATCTCACAAGAAATCTCATAAGTGATTACCACATTCTGGTAATCACATTCTTTTTCAAACTTCGACAACATCTCTGGCACCTACTATGTATGTCAATTAGAAATCTGCAAAGACCACCTTAATTGTTGGACTGTCATTCCTAATTTTCGGTTGTGGAATTAAATAAGTTTGTAAATTTCTTTAGTTACAAGTTTAAGAAACAAAGATCTATGTAGCAGTATCTGGTGTTCCAGTTACTAGACAACCTCTATGTCCTGGCGGAGAAGGGGATTGATATCTTCCTTAGTATGCAGTGCTAAATATTTCAATTTTTAAAATTGTAAGAATCGTTTTCAAAATTGATATCTTCCTTGGCGTGGCATCTCCAAAGCTCCTTAGTATGCTAGTTCCAATTTCTCACGCATATATGCATATATGCTTGAGTTTTACACATCATTACTACAATTTAAAAATTAAGCAAACAGATTGTACATACCTCAGAGTGAAATCGTAGGAAGCCTGCGTAAAATCGCAGGAAGGGAAATCTCAGAACCTGCGTGAAACCTGCGTGTATTTTTCCTTTGAGGAGAAGGTTGGGAGAAAGACGAGCGCCAGCGAAAAAGAAAATAATTTGACCGAGGGTATCGCAGGAATATTAAGATGGAAACCGGAACAGCCAAATTGGAGCTGTAAGACCAATTTGGCCGATCTAACTCACAGAGATTTGAAGCTGAATAGTTTTCAAGAAGGAAGATGCTCGGAAGATGAACATGGATGTTGTTGGGCTTATTAAATGGGTTTATAATGCTATGGACCAAAGAGTATTTTTATGGACATCTTATTTTAGATCAAAAGCAAAGGGCCAAAGGTCACCGTGTCACTTCTAGGGTCCGTTTGGTTCAAGGAATGTCAGATTAACACGGGAATGTTAGATTACCGGTTATGTCAGATAGATGAGAATGTGATTAATGTATAACCGATTTGTGTTTGGTTGAATGATATCTTATATTGCATATTTGGTGAATTACTTAAGTGTCCTTTAAATATTTGTCCCTTAACACATTAAACGTAGGGCAGAGCACGGATCGGGTTCAGGCGGATCGGGTTCAAAAATGGTAAACCCGTTCGGGTATCGGATTGATAATTTCAAACCATATCCTATCAAAAAATTTATCGGGTTTTTCGGGTTGCGGTCGGGTTGATACGGTTTTCGGGCCCATTCGGATTTTAATTTATTATTGTTGAAATTGTGATAAATAAAATGGTAATTGGTAAAAATATCATTCAAAGTTATACTAGTATAACATTCAAAGTAATAGTTGTATAAATATGGTAATCGACATATTTGAACATGTAAAATAATAATATAAGGTGATTGACATATTTGACATTGTGATAAATAAAATGATTATTGATCAAAATATCATTCAAAGTCATAACAATACAACATTCAAAGTCATAGTTGTACTAATACAGTAATTGGAATATTTGAACATGCATAATATGGTAATTGACATACAATAATTGAGATATTTGAACATGCATAATAATTCAAAGTAGTATATATACTACGCTAGTTCGGTTTTTCGGGTGGGTCGGGTAGCATAATTGGTAACCCTACCCGCTACCCGCTTAAGTATCGGGTTGCAAGAATCGGATCGGGTTTGGGTATTTCGGGTCGGGTTTTCCGACCCCAACAAAAAAAATCGAATATATCCGATCGGGTCAATCGGGTAGGGTCAGGTTTGCTCTCCCCTAATTAAACGCATTACAACCTATAATTAAAGTAAATAAAATTATAGAAAAATAAAACATCTTAGTAATAATTAAAATCAAAACTAATTGAATTAGTTTTAAGCAAAGTATGTTTAATTGCACAAATGACTAAGATTAGTGAACATTAGTAAATAATTTTAAGCAAAATATTGACTTTTCTTGATCAACGATGACGAACTTTGGACAATGATTTTAATAATTTTTTTATATAATTTCTAAATTTTATACTTTTATGATAATATTTTGAATAAGGAACATTTTAATATAATTTTCATATTAAAATTAATTTCATATTAAAAAATATCATTAGCCAAAGTTGATTGTCATTGACCAAGAAAAGTCAATTTGTCGAACCTTTTCGGGACGGAGGGAGTATGATATTGTCGATTAATTGAAGCTTGGATTTTTTTGGAAGAAAGTTAATAAGCAACCAGGAATCTAACATAACCTAAGGCCTTAGTGGGTTTAAGATGACTGGTAATGTGATTACTTTTTTCACTTTTGGGAATGTAGCATTCCCATAAAAAAATCAAACAAGCGAATCAAACACAGGTATCTCACATCCCGGACATCAGATTTCGACCTGTATAAGATATTACCTTGAACCAAACACTTCCTAATGTTACAGAATGTAAACATGGCATAATGCCTGAACCATTATGTCATTGTCTCATTGAGAGGTCGTTTGTCAACACTGTTTTTTGGCTAATCAGCCAATTTTTTCACCAAACACATAGTTTTTGGTTTCGCGTTCTGGATTGTGTAATAAGCAGAAAAAGTAAGATTGGAGTTACTTTTCTGGCTGTATTGGCTGAAGTTACTATAGATGACCATTTTAGCTATTTTTACATATACTTTTCTCTTACATTTGATTTTTGTGTGCATATATCCTCAATCTCAATCTTAGGAGGTAAAGAGGAGCAAGCCTCCTTGAAGCATTTGAAGACTTCTATTAGTTCTATATGGTGTTGGATGCCCAAGAATTTGTGTGTAAAGCTGCTCGAATCGCTAAATAGATACTCGTACAAAAAATCCTTAAGTTGATACTACAAGGTATCTTTAATTCTATGTTTTTTGAATTTATCCCACCCTGCCATAGATGTGACCAGGGTACAAGGTTTTCATTTCTGTCAATGTACAGCTCTTACAAAACATAAACGATACTTATATCTTAGAATTTTTTTATGGTTTCTCTAAACTTAGCAAACTCTGTATTAATGTATTAAACTGGGCTACTCTGTTTTGGCGAATTCCATGAAAACTTATCATCATTTTTAAAAAAAATATTTTTATGGGATGGTAAGAGTACTAGCTATGAATGCATAATATGAAGTGAGATTTTTTTGGTATGCCGTGAATTCAAGAAGGAAATAATGCCCTTCGTGTTACTATTACACTTTTGCATCCCAAAACTAGGACCTTTTTAATATTTTCCACATAAGTGACTTGTTCTCATGATCTGCCGCTTCGTTGCCTCACCATAGAATTTTCGTCGCCTTCAATCCAACCCCCTCTCCTGCGTCCAATTGCTCACCAGTCAACTACCAGCACCGACGTGCATCCTCCGCAGCCCATTGCAGCCCCCTAGCCAGAGCAGCTCACGAGTGCACCCCGGTAAGTCATTGTCCCCGTCGCCTTTTCTGATTCTCCCTTCTTCACCTCATATTCGAATTGGTGGGCCAATAAATTTGGGGTCATGGAAATACATCTCAGTTCCTTCTGGCATGGCGAGCGACGTCGATTTCTGCCGAAGACGTCCGGCCTATTGCAATGTACGAGACCGGTTTTCAACAACCATCTATGATGACTACCTACGACAGATCAGCGGTTCAGGTTCGAGCAGATACTCAACAATGTTGGGATGTAGAATTAGGTCAGGTGAAGGCGCGATTGGGGACAGAGGCAACATGTAGGGAATGAGCGGACGATTTTGGGCTGGTAATGGGGGCTGCGAGGCTTTGAGGGGGCTGCGGAAATTGGGAGGGGTGGAAAAGGGGATTAGTGCAGGGGCCTGGGACAAAGAAGGGGGTCGGGATAGAGGAGGGGGTCGGGAAAGGTTTGTGTGCCAGTTTGGGGCCTTGGGGGTGTGGTGCGGTGGAGGAATGCAAGTGTTGTAGTGGGTGGGAGCTGGGTGTGATGGTTGAATGCGGCTTTGCAGTGGCTTCTGAGGATGGGGAGGGTTGGGGGAGGGCTGGGGAAGGTTATTGTTAGGTGACAGCCACCACCGGCGGCGGTGGTCATTGAAATTACTGTCGGAAATGGGCGGTGGTCATAGTGATACGGGCGGTGGTCACAGTGACATAGACGGTGGCCACAGTGACACGGGCGGTGGCCACAGTGACACGGGCGGTTGCTACAGTGACACGGGCGGTGGCCACAGTGACACGGGCGGTTGCTACGGTGACACGGGCGGTGGCTACAGTGACACCGATGGTGACGACAATGATATTCGATAGTGACATTAAATTTGATCAGTGACATTAAAATGTGGTAATGACATGAATATGACTACTTTAGTCACTTTGTTGTCCAAATGTAAAAGTTGTCACATTTTATGAAATCGCATTTAATTTAGTAATATTGAAGGAATAACCCCTTTAAGAAGTGGTGTAGAAATATAGGGATCATATGAGAAATTTCTAACGCAGAAATCTCCATTCATGTGTAAGGCTTAGGAGACAGTGGAAGGAGTTAGAAAGCTTGATCGAACTCTAGCTTATAGATTTTGATTGGTAACCTCATCATCAGCTAGGAAATTGAGAACTCACAAGACATTAGCAATAGTAAAGAAATAAATAAGCACTGTGAATTCATGGGTGCTGTTCATCTATTGTATATTTTGTAATCACATGTGTTGTGTAGTTGAAAAGTTTAAAAAAACTGGAAAATTATTCCCCGATCATGAAGAGGTTCCATTGTTCCAACTCCTATTCTCCTCACTGCTTTTAATATATCTTGTAAGGAACATGGTTCTTGATATATGCAGAACGAAAAGCTTTGGTTTTCTTAATTTAGGGGAATTCTTTGTTTTTGAGGAGGAGGATTACGTGTGAATTTGTTTCATGCTGTTTGCAGCTAAAAGAAAGACCAGAGAAGCTTGAATATTGGAAGATGAGAGAAAAAAAGTTTGAAGAGAAAAAAAAAAGAGAAGATGGAGCTTTTGCGTAAAAAAAGCTCCTTGTGGATTGACGAGAAGTTGTTGGAGCCGAAGGCATTTGTAGGCTCTGTTTGCCCTTCAATTAGGAATATAACAGAGACCGAAAGATAAAGTTTTTCCCCCAGATCTCTTGTGATCAATGTGGAAGAGTATATTGTTGGGTTCCCTCCTTAATTGAGAAGTTCATGAGAATTCTAGAATTTTGTGAAGATGTCTAGAATTCTCTAGATGTGTGAAGAAACGTATTGAATGTTCTAGAGTGTTCTGGAGCTTTCTAGAGAGGCATGGAATTATCTAGAAGCATGTGGAATAGTGTAGAACATTCTAGAACATTTTGAAGTTTTCTAGAGAAGCGTGGAATTCTCTAGAGTCGTGCGGAAGTGTGTGGAAGCCTCTAGAACATTCTGAAGCTGTGTGAAGTTCTCTAGATCCTTCTAGAAGATTAGAGATGCTTGTGGTCACTTCGTGGAAGAATCTAGAAGTGTAGTGATGTATAGAAAGTTCTATAGAAGCTTTTAGGAGAGTAGTATAAATAGGGGCGAGACTCCTCATTCTTGTGAGGAGGCCTTATGTGAGAGCCTAGAGAGAGTCTAGAGAGAGCCTCCTTGAGTAACGAGTGAGAAAGCCTCAAGGGGAGCTCTTGAGTGAGTTAGAGTCTCATTGAAAGAGTAGAGTGAGAGTGAAGTAGTCCTATATACAAAGAGTGAAGTGAGCTACCCGTTTACTTGTAAATCTCTCTTGTACATTCCAATTGTATAATACAAAGTGTTATTGTCAGATGGAGTCTTTGTATTAAGAGTGGCTGGGTGAGTGTACAACAGTCCTT